CATCAAATAATTTCAAAAGCTTGTACATCTAAAATCTTTAACACCTGTTGCAGGCTAAAAGAATCATCATTAAGTGTTTTACTTTAGTAGTTTATTCTTGGATTTCATACCTGAGAATACCGGTTTTAATTAGTTCCCAGTATGGCAAGCAGCAACAACTTTTTGTAAAAAAAATTATTCTTGGATTTCATACCTGAGAATACCAGTTTTACTTAGTTCCCAGTATGGCAAGCAGCAACTTTTTGTAAAAAAACCGTACCTTGCCCACTTTGTGATACTGCTGTAACAAGACTGTAGATGCCAGTGATTTTTTACTAGTTTCCTCTTTATTACATCATCATCTATCACGTTGTCTACACTTTGTCAAGCACATAAAAGAACCAAGCATCATTCCAAGGTTAGCAAACATGCTTAGAGTAACGTTTATCTGAGTACTAAGCAGAGAATCTTCAGCACAGCCTGCTCCTCCTCATGGAGTTATCTCCTGAACTATGTATGCACACCCTTTGACTTACTCATCTGACTTACAAACTATCCCGGTTTTAATTACTGGATTCCATACAATTGGGTCAATAGTTTTTCCAGTCACACCTGTACTTTGAAGTGTAGTGAAACAAGTCGGAATGAAACACTGTATGTTGGTAAAATGTGAACCACCAAGTTACATGCTTGTAAAATTTTGAGATTTTCCTTGCCAACACCTTGGTCATAACTTTAGATGATATATCTGTATTGACTGAAATAAAACTCAGTTTTAGACAACTTCACTTAGACTACTGTTAGTCTAAATAATTTGTCTACTTGCAGAACCTAATGAGAGATTCTGAACGGTAAGGAACTGCAGTTTGCACTTGTGCTTCAGTTGAGTTTTACTTCATTTTCAGTTCCTATTGCAGAACACCAGCAGCAGAAGGGATGTATATGAAAAACAGTTTAACCATCAAAACTTACGTAAGCTGAAAGCAACTGAGTGCTTTGTCTCACTGCTGTAGCTCTCGTGCTTCTTGGCACTATTCTCATCCTGCTAACTTCAGAATTTATCATACTAAAGTTACACTACAATAGTCTTAGTTAAGAGTTCTCTTAATTGCTGCTGTAAGGTATTCTGCAATATTGGGTACCTTTTTTTAAAGCAGAGTGAGGTTTCGATCAGTAAGCTGAGCCAACCTAGTTTTCTGCTAAAACAACTTTACTGATTCAGGAAACTAAGGAGCCTTGAATTGGGTCCTCCTTTCTACCTAATAAACCTGGCATAAAACTAACCCAGCATGCAAGAAAATCTTTGCCACTTCATTGAGCTGAATTAACTTGCTTGGGGCAGGGGGTGCAATGTCAAAAACTCCACATCTGGGAGGAAGACGACTGTGAGATCATGTGGTGACATCTATTTAGACAGCTCACTTAGATTTCACTCTGAATAGTGGTAACTGTATTGTCCCTATCAAAATGACCTAGCATACAGGAGAATAATCAACCGCACAAGGAACAAGACAGGGAACAGGCTAGGTATTCGTTCTGGAAGTATAGGAGGGCAGAAACAGAGAATGCCATCATGAACCAACAGTGTTTATTGTTGCAGAAAAAAGGCAACTTCGCAAATATTCAAGAAGGGAAAGAATCTATTGTATATGAATGACACCGATAAGGCACCACCTAAAGCACAGCATCTGTAGATACTGTAGAGACCAGCCAGAAAATACTATACAAATGACAATTTAAAATACCAGGGTTGCTTCATACAACAAAAACTGAAAAAAATTATCTTCTTCAGTTACTATGTCTGCCTTCTAATGAATTTATGATTGCCTGCACATCGTAGGGGGTATTGAGCAGAGCAATAGTTTTCACATTCTGACACCTCAGGCTCAGATGAAGTATATAATCTATTTTACTCATTTCCAAGGGTAAACAAAATATCTTGGATTAAGTTTTATGAATGATTTTTCGTGTGAAGGTCTGTAAAGTTACTGAGTTTATATATGCTATCTTGTTAAGATCAGGCAGACAGAATTAAGGATTTTTAAGATAAAGAGATAGGACACTAACACTTAGCATTTAAGTCATTAATATCTACATTAGCATAGTAGAAATCAAATGCAATACTTTCTACATTTCTGTTTTAACTTGTAAGCCACAGAGTTACTGACAGTTATTATTAACTCTGCACGTTATCGTTAAGTAACTAAAACATCTTGCTAATCAAGTCACACAGTTACCTTCTCCACTACCGTACTCTCAATTCATATTATTTTAGCACCAGATTTCTTCTGAAAAAGGAATCCACGAACCAAATCAAATAGCCTTTCAGTTATCTAGGATTCAACAACTTGCAAAGCAACAGCCCATACTGCTTGAAAAGTATTTTGTAGTTTTTACCAATGCTTTATTTGGAGGTGAACTGCAATGTCATTACACTATTCAGTAGTCACATAACTGAAGATAGGAGGAGTTAAGTACTACTCGAACCACAGTAAGACATGGCAGAGGGTTTTTGCCTTGTTGGAAGGAAGGAACAACAGTATTTCAAAACTTGACATGGTTTACACTGTTCATAACAGGTGGAACAGTGTAAAATCAAGTAATTACTGTAACATACATAAATGTTACATGTTTTCCTGCTGTTTACAGATATCATTTCAGTAACTGTCACTTGTTTTGAGAGGGCAGATCAAAATGTCGTCTACTACTGGGAAACTGTTATTTCAGATACTCTTTTTCATAAATTTCCTCATGCAGAACACAAAAACATTTAAATGAAATAGAGTCCCAGACTTTCATTGCGATAAAAATTATAAGCAAGTTCTTTATAGTGTTGGAAGACAGATGAAGGATCACTGCGAGTTAGCAACTCTTAGACCTCTTATCTTGGCTGTCAATCAGCAGCCAGAAGCTGAAATACCGAATTCTTTCTGCTGGACTGATTTATTGCCTCCACAAAGTTTCTTGTTCCAGGCAAGGCTGTTTAAGGCTGTTCCTTAAAGAGTTTTACCTGGCATAATATAAGTAAGATTGGGACTTTCATAAACATGCTACTACTCAAGTCAAAGTCAGTCCGACATTTTATTTTCTAGTATACAAGTCAGCGCATGAAGCCTTCAGGATATTCTGACTTCATTAAAAAAAAAGAAATATTCTGAAGGGGTTTTTTTTCCTCTTTGTTGAAGGTCTTCAGCAGTAACACAGGAATTTTTATTGTTGTTGTTAGTTTAAATCTAAACAGTGTGGGATGCAGTGAATTTCTGGTCACCTATATTTTGATAGTGTTTAGTGAAATATTAACATAATCAATGTTCAAGAGAACAGTCTGTGTAAGCGCTCTTCGAAAAAATGGTTGAGTATTCCTAATTGGAAACAAATTGCAGTGGCATCACAGGACAAGAAAAGAGGAATTCAAGTACAGTGACGTCCCAGGGGATAGTTTTAGAGGAGACTCTGAACACGACTGGTTCCTTTCCACTGAGCGCGAATTTCACAAACGCTATTACAGATTTTCTCCAGGGGACTGAAAGGGGGCATCTCTTATACAATACACTTCACTAGAACTAAGTGAGAGTCACCATGTGGTTAGGATTCAAAATTTCAATCCAGTAGCCATCAGGATCCTGAACAAATGCAAGTCCTTTCATTTTACCTATTGGAAAAAATAAATACAAGATAAAGGTAAGAGTACATGACTAGCTCTTAATGTCAAATATGACTACTTTGAAAAATATTTTTCCTTTTTTTCCTTTTGCATGAGAATTAGTTCAAATTTAGACAGCTAGTTCTGAAAACATCTGGATTAGTTTTTAATCAGCATTAGATCTTTGTATGCTAAATTGTCAGTCTTACTCTCAACAAAGCTGCGGTTTAAAGCCATTTTGAAATTCTGTCTTTTGTTGACTGAAGTTTTCTGCGTGTGCCCCTGTAAGTGTTCATCCTCTAAATTCAGAAAAATATTTTTCTGCTCCAGGATGTTTTGACATATTTTCTTGAACTGGCTTTGACAGTATAAAATCTTTTGTTCCTCTGCCCGGTTCATCTCACATCATTCCTGCCTCCACACTGAAGTTTTACGTTACTGGGTTTTGTTTCTTTTTCCCCTCCAATGTAGTTTACAGTACACGTTTACATTACTTCACAAACCAGAGAAACGCAGTGCAGGAATGTTTTAAATTTTACTGTTGGAAAAAACATAACTCATTAAAACCAGGTCCCTAAAAGTTGTCTTCAACGGTAGATCAGGATAGCACAGCTTAACGTGTTATCTTAAAAGTGTTAACCACACACTTATAATTATACTTGCTCTATTAGGCTATTTACTGTAACAGAACCAACCTAACTCTTACGATGTTCTAGTTGCAAAAACTTCAGAGAGAATAGATGTTTGATTCAGTAATGTAAGAAAAAAAAAATAACATTAAGTCTCTCAGCCTGCTCCACAAACAATGTGAAGTCCAAAACTTCTTCCTCCTCCTTGGCATTTGCTGCACCAATTTATTTCTTAATGTTAAAAAACAGCTTTTGCTCTCCTCCTCCCCTGGACTGCTTCAAGAGTTCTTTCCTGTCATTTACTGCATTTACAGTCTAAGCTTCTCCTCTTAAATACTTAAGAGCTGTGCAGTGATACAGAATCCAAGTCAGGATCTTTCACTTCAACTCTCTCAGAGTTCAACAGGTGCTGAACAAATTTTAAAAGGTTCAGAAATTCTAAAATGCTAGAAATACTAAGTTCAGTTCTTAAATAAAGAAATCTGTGTTCACATTAAGTTTTCAGCTACACTTCTTACGTTTGCTTCAGCTGAGAACACAGTGAGTAAGACGAAAAATCACTTAACTCTCTTTTCAACGACTTGTTCTTATTCCTCTAGCAAGGAATCTAGAAGATCAATTCCAATATGTATAAACTGAAGCTTCATGTATTAATGTTACTTCCAAACTGAAAAAAACCCACCATTAGTACAGGCAACAGTTTACTTTCAATAGCCAGAAGGAAGAAGTATGACAGATTTGTGCATGCTGCTGAGTATTAGAAGTCCATTTTGGAACACACCGGTCCTAAAATTCTCATGAGGTCTCTTCACGACAGAGAATCCAGTTGAAAAATGCAGGACCTCTCACCACTGATTTTTGCATTGTAAGCTATTTTGGCATGGACATTCTTTGTTTATGTACTCTCTAGACATTTGAGCTATACATTATGCATTTTTTACTAAAAGTTATACAAGTCAAATATGATATAGACTAATGAGGCTATTTCTACCAAAGCTGACAGAACAGTTAAATGATAATGGCTAGTAGGTGGCACTAGGTGGATTTAAATAAAAATAGCCAAAAAAGTCAAGAATTACTCAGTGTTAATGGGTGGCAGTAACTATTCTTCTCAGTTATTTTATTTTCATAGGATAAGAACCAAACAGATGTGACATGGATTTGATCCGCGTTAAAGTAAATTCTGTAATAACTCTAGGCAGTAGTATACATAGTAAACTCACATCAGCAGAGCACGTGAATTCTACTGAAGGTCGGACTACCTACAGAAGGCACATAGCTAGACGGATTATTGTTACTGAGATGGATCTATTGTCAGTTTTGCCCACTGTGTAAGAGGGTGCAGGGATAACTGGTTCTAGCACCTTCTAAGCAGTGACAACTACTAGAAATGTATTACCCAGCTTTCCAGGAAGATCAACTAGACAGAATATATTAAAAACAAGGAAAAAAATTGACTTGCATTTCTGATCAAGACTTACCATCATCTGGTTTCTTCACAAATTTCACTCCTAGTTCTTCAAACCTCTTACAAGCTTTATTGACATCAGGGACAGCAATTCCAATGTGTCCTGTGCAACAAGGTAAAAAGAGTGAAGTACACTGTAAGTATTGCTGGGTGTTCTAGGAAAAAGCTTGCTCAGCATGTCATCTTGTGCAAAAAGTTTACATGCTGTAGTTTATATAAGATATGATTGTATACAAAAAACCCCATTGTTTCCAGAAATAAGAGCATTTTGGGTATTAACATTATTCTCCTTCAGAAAGTTGAGGTTTTGATAACGCCTTTTAAAATAGGAACTTTAAAGTACCTCATATTGTTTAGATGAGAATATTATACAGAATAGGAAAAAAAAAATTTCAATCAAATTGTTCTATCTATATTTCCTTTCTCGAAGTATGCCCACATTGCATTTGCTCAGTTCCACAGTACAAGGAGTTTATCATTAATGCTGTATTTGTAGAGACTAACACTAGCACCGTGCAAGGCCTGAGCTTACAAATCAATTCAGAAGCTTTAAATGTCAAGTGGCTAGATTGAGTATGAAATTTATTTCGCAGGCCAGTGACCTTTCAAGCACTCAAAATATCAAATCGAGCCACACAGATACTATCCTCAGTGCTACAGACAAACAGAATTCTTTCTAGCCTAAAATGGGTAACCAGTGGATTATAAAATAGAAATCCAAATGTAAATCAGTCTAAACATCATGATAATCTGATAAAGAAGAGCAATTACTGTTCTTCATTCAGTAGTTACTATTAGCATGTGTTTGCTTGCCAAAGGATTAGATTCTTTATAAAAAGTGTAACTGTGGCTCATTATTCTGAGTCAGATTTGTTTACCTATTTCACAATCTTTCACAGCATACATGCTGGAAGAAGAGAGATAAAGGATGAGATGCAAGTTCCCTTCCTTCTTTCCTAGTGCTAATATGTTTTCTTTGAAGTAACCTACTAGAAAAGTCTTTTCATCCATACAAGTTTAAAGTATTCTCTCTAGTAGTTCTCATTAAAAAAGAGCCTACAGCATATACTTACCTGATAACCTTTGCACAGAATTTAGACAGAAGTTTTCTAAAAACCATTTGACCAACATGCAAGAGAAAAAAATGTAGTCACGATAAACCAAAGCTTAAAAACTACAAAGACAAAACTGAAGACCTACCAAATCCTCGGGGATCTGAATTGCCATTGTGGTAAGACTGACTTTCATCATTTTCAGTGCCCCAGTTGCTGTAAGAAGTAATTATTACATATTGAAGAAAAGCATTGAAATCAACAAATCCTAACTGTTCAGTTTCCTCAGGAGGATAAGTTGTTTCTCCTAAGAAACCAGAGAATTTCAGCTGTTGGTCGCATTCATTAAACTATCAAGATTTTCCCTAGTCACAGGTCCTAGGGATAGTCTTGGGGCTAATCCAGTCATGTTCACAGCCCTCCAGGAGTACTCAGGCCTGACATTTGAATGAGCTGTAGACACTCCTGTCTCATTCAGATTAGAGGAGAGAAGGTTGTGCTGCCTGAGTCAGTTTATCTACCCATCACTGGGGAACAAACAGTGAGGGCAGCAGGTCCTGAAGCTAGGCAAAACACTGGGGTATTTGGAAGATTCTTTCTGCACAATTACAATGACTAGTCGCATTAACCAAATTGTCCTCTTTACGGGAAGTGTATGTTTTGACTTAATACTTCTTTTGATTAGATTTCAAAAGCAACAGTTACCCATTATTAGGATGCTCTGGGGATCCAAAGAAAGTTCTAACCACATTGGGTTTTCCTAAATTCTGTGGCTTCCCTACCCAGATGACATGCATACTCAAAATATAGAAAGCATTATTTTGTATTTTTGTACCACTGTTCACCTAGCAGTTTGAAAGAGCTCTGAAAACAGAAAGATTAAGCTTGCCAAGTAACCAAGATCTCAGCCGTATTTGAAGGCTATATGACAATGAAGATGTTTCCACAGTAACGATTACATTTTTTATTCAATCCAACAGGATTTACACTCATCCACTTCTGTTTAATCACTGTTTGCTAAATGTCATCTCTCATTATATTAATACTTACTGTGTCAGTTCAAGTGTAGCTTTTCTAGAGAAGGTCCAAGCTGTTCTCTCAGCTTTATCCTTTGGGATATCATTTTTATCTTCATATGCCAGGAAATAGAGCGAGAACTTCATAGCAGGAAAGTCAAATTTTTGAAGCAGTCTGAATGGCAACAATTATTTTGAAATAGAAACTTATAAAGGTAATTGGGTAGCTTGCAAATAAACCAAGATGCTTTCCCCATGGAAGAATTATTGCTGTGATTTTTGCCTTTCTGACTGTAATCCACATCTTAAAATAGCTACATTTTGAACTATCAAATAGTAACACTCCAGAACACATTACAAACCTACAAAAATTACAAGCATCAGATGTTTAAAAGCCAAACTATTAGTAACTGAATAGCAAAGCCAGTACAAAGGCTCACGTCTTGAGGTTGCTGCTCTGTTACTTGTCCTTATTTTCTCAGAAAGATCTGCATGTTTATCCACTTTAAAATACCACCAAGGAATAAAAATATTTACTTTGAAACTTATTCCTCCTGCAGAGCTCACTGGCACCAGACAAAGTTTAAGAACACAGCAGGATTAAAAAAACAAACATATCTTTAGATGAAATATTTTCACAATTTCAATAGCTAGGTATATCCATTTCAGATGTGACAATTTAATCAACTACAAAATATTTGAGGTATACATTTTTATGTAGGATGTTTAACCAGCAGGCATGCAATAAGCATATAATTTCTTTTTCAGGTTACTAGGTATTTAATTTTTATTTTCTCACACCCACATCTTCACTAAAGTGAAAGTGGTTTATTTTACTTCAGTTTGGACTCATTTGAAGATGTTTAAAAATATGCTAGACTTTTGTGTTGAAATAACTCATATCAAATATCAAGAATGTGCAAAGAGCCTTAGCATAAACACGTCAGGCTACTGCAGGGCATCTGCCTCCCAAGAGCCTTCTCCAAAAGGCTGAGTTTGGACTTTGTCTGCAGCTTCCATTGCCTTGGTCTCTATGACCAGAGGTGGTCATAAGCCACCTCTGAGAACTAGTAGAAAACTTAATTTCAAGATTCATAGCAATGACTCCTGATTTTAAGTACTGTCAGAAAAGTTACCAGTTAGCTGTAGGCTCAGCAAGGAGGAAGTAAGCAAGTTGTACACTGATAATTAGTGACCTATTTAGGAAAAAAAGAAATTTCTAGTCAAGGCCAGTATTAGTTCATTTGCAGCTTAGGCATTAACTGTGCTGTGGGAATTCTCAGAGATTGCCAGATTGTCCAATTGGGCATCAGCTGATGGGCCAGCATTGTTTATGTAGCTAGACCAATTAGTATAATTACATCAAGATAACAAAAACTTTTCAGAAGAATAGTAGGAAAAAACAAACTTATTGGGGCATACAACTTCTACTCACGTCATTCCAAGAACTCTTGTATAAAAATCTAGTGACTTCTTAGGATCCTTTACTCTTAACATTGTCTGCTGGAACATAAAATCCTGTGGGGAAAAAAGGTTTATTATTTATACATCAACCGGAATTTAATTATGGGTATTAAAAAAGATGCCAGTTAATAATGAATTTAAAACTAGCAGGTTTAAAAGTAACAAATAGAGTACTACGTTAAGTGTAAATAACACCTTTTGTCCTGATCCTACACATCCAGATTTGTGTAAATAAATATGCCTTTGTAACATAATGTTTAAAACAAATAAACAAAACCACCACTGGTATCGCTCAATGTATATTATCAGTGGTATCAGAAAAAGGGTATCATTCTTCATCTTTATTATTCTTTTATGGAGCTCTACTGCACATGAACCACTTTGCATGCCAGCACACTGGGCACGTGAGTATTTGATACGGGGCCTCACTGCACACACAGAATTTAAAAAAAGCTAAACTCCTGAACTGGCTATTTTTATTATTTTGTTGCACAGGTGTTAAATTTCTGTCAAGCCTGACGGTATCTTGGCAGCAAAACCATCCTGCATTTCTGCAAGGGTATTTTCCTCAAGCCACAGGGTAACTTTATATACTAAGGGCTAATGAACAGCTAAGCGGATGAAAAGTGAATGGTAGGGCAGCCTTGACAGATGTATCAAAAATAAAACCCCAAGATGTAGAACAACTGAAATGCAATGACAAGGTCCTCCTAATAATAAATAAATAAATAAATAAATGTTTGGAGTGTTTTGGGGGATTTTTTTTTTTGCAACCCTGGCATGTGCTGGCTGAA